GGAAAATAAGAAACCAAAATCAAAACCAGCCCCCCTCCAAAAAAAAAAAAAAAAAAGAAAGGCTGCTGAGGTGTTTGATCAATATCTGGAGAGTGCTCTGTGACACCTGTGGTGGGGTAAGAGCAGCATCAGCAGGACCGAGTGGTGCTTTTCAAGCTCAGTATTTTGATACCAGTGGAATTTCTACCTTTGCCCGTCATCCTTTTCAGTGTAACCTGGATCACACATTAATTTATCTCCAGGGAGTTTACAAAAAGCTGCAGTGGGCCAGCTCTCCAGAACACACTCCAGGGTGCTCTGTTTACTGGAGACTCTTGTTATGAGAACATGCTTGAAAATAATAGGCACATAATTTGCTTTATCAAGGCAGAATAAGAGGTAAAACCATACCAGAAAAAAATGGTAGTTGAGCACATAAATGAAAGAAAATTTCAGATTTAATCTAATTCCTCATACTGAAGTTCTCACATCACAGAGAACATAATTGTTTTCACACATTTTGGAAGTTATTGTGTACACATGATCTTGAAATTAATTGGATGAGTCACCTGCATCTGTAGAAACACAGCCTTTATGCCACACTGGGATAAAAAAAAAAAAAAAGGAAAATCAAGGAAATCAATGGGTAAGAATGTCTCCTTTAGCCAGCCCAGTCTGAGAATACATTTCCTCACATTATTCCTCCAATCTGCTTGAGAGAATCTTTTCTTAATTTCTTCTCTTCCATTTTTTCTATTCTTGTTAAGATTGAAGCCTGAAAATACATTTCTAATTACTTTCCAAATACAATAAAGCAGGAAATGCATTAGTTTTACAAAAGTCTTGGGGCAATTATTTTAAAGCATCTAAAAATTTTGTATGGTGGCAACAGATCATCTGGCAATCAGTTTGAGAAATAAATATTGATAAATGAAAATTTTCTCCAAGATAAAAAAAATCTATATTATTAGCAAGAGATATTAACTAGTTTTGGTTTTTTAAAGAATTCTTTTTCTCATCTGAAATGCAACTTCCATAAGACAGCTAACAAGAAATTCACTTTGCATCTATGATAAACCTATGTTATGCATAAACATGTAATTTTATTTACCTGGAATAATTGTAGAACATGTTCAGCCTTAAATGAATAGTTAGGAAAAATCAAACAAACAAAAAAAACCAAAAAAACCCACTAAAACATTACTTTTTTTCAGCCAAGAAGATGCGCATAAAGGTGGGTAATGGTGCAATCTGATCAGTGTTTAGAGATTGCTTAGGTAATAATTTTTTGTCATAGGGAGGTTTTTTATTTTATTCAGTTGCACAGGTACATTAATTTGCTCATTTTAGCAGTGACTTTGCAACCCGTGTGTTAATCATCACTAATGTTCTGCAGAATGTGCTGCAGTTAGGCATTGTTATCAGTGTAACTGGTTTGCTAAATATAAGGCAGCAATGGATTTTCTCAGGATTGAAAGACTCTTTTGTGAGTGTTTTTTATTTGTGACACTAAAGAACAGAGCTAACCCCAGAGGTCTGATCTGCATCAGACAAGGACCATGACAGCACCTTGTTTACTGATCTCTGAAGGTATTTGTGAGCAAAATGGGTTTCAGAGTCACCAAGGTTCCTAGGCTTTGAGCCCTATGTCAGGTGACTTCAGGTAGGTCTGAGTGGTACTGAAGTGCCCTGATATTTGTCATCAGAGCAGAGAAGAACAAGTGCCAAATTCTCATTTTTAATTTAAATATAACTATAATTAGAAATATATCATTTTGATATGGACTATAATTGAATGAGACTCAATTCAAAATTTGCTTTATTTACGTCAGTTTAATTTCAAGTAAATTATTGGTTTTAGTATAACTTTGATCTGAATTTGCATCAGCCTATACTTGATGATCCTGACGATGAACACAGCTTACATAACATAAGAAATTAGCACATTGCTCTGAAAACAAAAAGAAATCTATTTTCAGAAGTCTTAGAAGGGATAACTCATTCTAGGGAACCTATACTCCATAATTACTGTACAGAAATCAACTCCTATAAAAATTTACATCTAGCTTTGTACATTTTCATTAGACACAACTATTACCTGTTTCTTCTGAAAGCTGGGTGTTGAGGTGTTGTCTTTTCCTCCTATAAAATAATAGCAGACTTTTTTTTTTTTTTTTAATTAGTTTTCCAGAATTGATTTTGAAATGTGAGAATCCTTAAGTAACAATTCTCAGACCCCTTGCAGTTTGCACATTATTACTCTTCATGTGATGGGTGTCAGACTTGGATGCACAGAGTTCATCCTCTTTTACCAATTCCTGTGAAATGTACACCACACTGATTAGCACAAATAAAAGGATGTTGGCTGTCCTCCTGGACTGTCTGCCATCTTGGAGCACAGAAGTAAAGAGACAAGCCTGACTAATCCAAAGAGAATTTTTTTGTAAACACCAATGCCAAAAGAATATCCATTTTTGGTCTCCTCCTCATTCCACTCCATGCACAAGTGTCACAATAAGAGAGCAGGGGAAGGTTGGAAACACAAGATCAAAATGCCCAGGGGGTCTCTGGAAGTGAACTACACTCAGAGTAAAAAGAAATCTAACATTTTTGTGGCTTGGTTCCTATGGAAAATTCATTCCAAACCTGAATTATTTAATATTTGAATGAATTGAGGAATGGAAAGTCTTTCATCCGAAAGAGGTTTCCCACTCAGTAATTTAACCCCAGCTGTTACTGTTTTTATCATGACTTAAAAGCAAAGAAGGAGGGAGAAGACAGGAAAAAGAAGGCAGGATGGTATCAGTACATCAAACCACACATCACTGATTTCTCAAAATCAAAATTGAAAACGGAACCATTTATTTTTTCTTTCATCTGTGTTCTACTCTGATTCATTTTTATGTTTAAATTTATAATTTCCTGGACACATTGAATCTAGGTCACTAGGGGAAAGCACAGCTCATCTTGTAGAATGAAAGTAGTCATTAAGGCCTTTTTCTGTTTTTAATCCAGTGTAAATTAATCCTGTTTATGTAACAGTCTGAATGAATTAATGATTTATGGAGGACAAGTTTTTTTACCTTTTATCTCTCTCTGACTTCTATCAGTTGGACTATCAGTCAGGATTCTACTGAAATATTTCAGGTGCATTACACATCTGAAGTTCATACCTAGTAAATATTGAACTGTCCACCTCCTTTCTTATGAACTCCTAGTATTACTCAGTTGCTGGGGTTTTTTTTTGCTTGTTCTGGTTTTTTTTTTTTTTTTCAATCAGGAATTTCCCTTTTGTGATTACAAGAGAAAGTTTTCATTAATGCCATAAAATTTCATAAATATCCACTTGATCCCATCTTTTTTTCTTTACATCACACAATTCTACTTGTTAATTATGTATATCTCAAGTTTGGAGATGCATCATACGTTGTTCAATTCACAGATTTAAAGGCTTTATTATCATAAAATTAACAGCTAATGTTTTCTGAACACAAAGATTTGAATTAACTAAAGTTTTGATTTCAATTCTTATATAATAGTAAATGGAAATTCAGAAATTTCCCCCATGTACGTGTAAAGTTTGGTTGTTATGATTCAGTAGTGCTATGAATGTAGTATAGTTTGCAATACTTTGTGGTGAATAAGTTTTCAAAATTGCATTATCCCTACAAATGTGTTTGGGGGGGAAAAATTGCTGCCATCTTTTGGATGCACTCAGGGGAAAAAAAAGAAAATAAACAAAAAAGTCTACATCCTGGATATATGGAAAAGATAATCTGAAATTGCAGAAATTTACTCCAAGATTACGAATATTTTTTTCTTTCCCATTTTATATGGAGATTGTATACTAACATCTGTGAAAGAACTGTTTGCTTGGTTAAGCAATACTGATGGGAAATAGCTTTCATTGAAGGATGTGTCACTGAAGTTGAAGACAAATATAACAACAAAAACAAAGATCACAGGTACAAAAAGAAAATTATGTTCACTCACAATTTTTAACTTTTTGCACCTATACTTCGTCTTATTGCTTGAGTACAAATAAAACTTCTTTGATCTACACAGTTATTACAATTTAGTGTCACAGCTATTTATCCTGAAAATTCCTTGGGATCTAGCTGGGATGTATTACATTATATTACCCTGCTTTTTGTAATTTTGTTTCTCTTTCTGTTATTCTTTTGAATTTCCGGAAGATGCAATCAAATTCTTGTTGTATGTCTAGCTCAATATACTGACTTCTGAGACAAACTCTGCGTGTTCAGCAAAGTCTTTGTAAGAACAGAGAAAGCTGGTTTCAGTGAGAATAAATCAAAGCTGATAATATCTGGGAGAAAGAAAACACTGTCCGGAGAAAATAATGACTCCTCTGAAGAGATATCATTGTCAGACACTAGCATATCTTGCCAGCTGTAGACAGGGATATTAAAATATGCTGCAAATCTGCCTCACAGCCTGGAGTGAGACCCAGGCTGGCATGCTGTACCTGTCCGGAGCAGAGAGGAGGCTGAAACCAGCTGAGACACAATGACACTCAGAAAAAAAAAAAAAAAAAAAAAAAAAAATCAACCAAAAGACGTGGGGAAGAAAACAGAGACACTGCAGGCATCCCCCACGCTCTGTACAGCTGACTTTGCAGATAGTTTGATTTCTGTCTGAGCACAAGGACCCCCAGGCCAAGTTACATCCACACTGTCCAGCACACCACCACCCCTCCCCAGGTGGGACGGTGACACGGGCACTTGCTGTTAAACTCGCAGCAGCAGCCTGACTGCTCTCTCCTCACACACAACAGACCCAAGGTCAGCCCTACACAAATAACCAATTAAAAAGGCTTCCAGCATTTCAGTCTGTAACAAATTAAGCTGACTCATTGCCCCAGTCACGAACTATAGTCTTTTATCCAAGCCATGTGCGAGAGAAAGAGGAACGAAACCCCTCATCAAACAATGTCCTTTTCCGGTGAACTTTACTCTCCCAATTCACCCCTTCTCTCCCAAAATATTGTTGCTGAAACTTACCGCTTTTTCCAACTCCCCCTGCTCCCAGCATCACCACCTTGTACTCTCTGGAGCCTGCTGAAGAACTGCTCGAGGAGCTGATCATTGCATTTTCTAGCTCCATCTTGCACGAAGCAGCAGAAGGGACCGAAACTGAAGAAAAAGCAACTGGCAGGTGTTTTCTCTGATCTTAAACAACTATAAAAGCTGTGTTAGGAGAAAAAAAAAAAAAAAAAAAAAAAGGCAGAAAGGGAAGGTATAATGCAAGAGCTATGATTTATCAGCCTCACACACTGCTGTGCCTGTGTTAGCTGGAGAAGGTCTCATAGCAACCACTTTAACAGCTTCCAATAAAAATCTCTCTCTGCCCCCTCCCAGCTCTGTATCGTTCTCTGTTTCTCTTCCTGGACAGCAGCAGTTTTGTGAGGCTCAAGAGGTCTGGTACCTCTGCGGTTGCAGTGTCATTGAACAAATGGATCAGATACTTCAGCAAAATAAAATGGATCCAATTTCTTAACTGTGAAGCTTTTATACTATGTAGTACTTGCTTGAATCTTAAAACAAACGAGACAACCTTCTTTTCACCTTGGAGTGAAATATGCATCCTATGATCATCAAGTCTGCTAGTTTCACACTTAGTGCTATTACAAGTGAAACAAGTAACAACTTTTAACAGCCTTTTTTCTTCGTGAAGCTTACTGAAAACACAGAAGTTTTCTAGGACTAGGTTTGATCAATACACATTTTAGTTCAGCATCCATCAATTATTTGCAGAAATAAACCAGATACTTTTGGGGTAAAAAACCCAAACTTTACTTGTCTTCCTCCTTTTTCCACATACAATTTCCGAAAGAGACAGGGACTGAAGAAAGGGGGATATAATCGTTCTTTCAGAAAAGATGTAAAGGAGAAAATTAACTTTTTGAAAGTATTTAATACTAATATCAAGTGATTTATCGTACCAAGCTGGTGAATGATATTCAGTGTGAAAATCTCACACTGAAATTATTCAGTGAAAACTTACAACAAAATGCAGCAGCTCGTCATCAATTTCATATTTTGTTTTTAAAACATCTGGTCTATTTAAAGAACTTGATAAATAATAAGAAATTTGCCCAGCTTTAACTGTTACTTGATATTTTTGGGGACCAAAAAGCATCTACCACAAAATGAGTAGAAATCAAAACTTGTACTCTTTTGGAAGTGCTGGGCTTTCATGACAGAGATAACTAGTAAGGTGACATGGAAATGGAAGAAGGAGAAACAACAAATAAAGTATTTTGGAAGTCAGACACCTTCGTCTGTCCACTCCTCCAATAATTACACAGAGTGTAAACATATTGTATTGCTTAGGAATAGTTTAGAACTAAAAATTGAAAAAGAAAAGAAAAAAATCATAGACTGATGAAGGACATGATTTAAAGAAAATTAAGGAGAGGAAAAGGTGTAGAAGGGCACATATCATTTAGAAGGGTAGCTTAATGGGCTAAGCAAATATATTATTAAAAAAGAACAGATGCATAGATATGATGATAATAATAATTAGAATGGAGAAGGCGAACAGAATATGAATACTCATTCTCCCTCCTAATAAAAACTTAAGAGACAGTGGATGGAACAGAAAGTAGCTCAGTTCAAAAAAAAAGATAAATACTTAGAAAAGTAAGGACTAAGTTAAGAAAATTGTTGGTGCTTGAAATCGTGGGCAATATAATTGATCTTGTAATGAAAAGTAATTTAAATACAAAGTAATACTCACTCCATCGTGGACTATTAAAATCACTTTTGCTTAAGAAGTACTCACATGAACAGATCGTGCAAAAAACAGAGAGACATCCAAATATGATGGTCTGTTTTCAGCCAGGCAGCAAAAGTGGACAGAGTCACTGTGCTCTGAGAAGTCCTCCAGAGCCAGGATCTGCCACTGTCCTGAAGGACTTCTGAGCTCTGTAGTGCCACAGAAGAGTGCCTGTATTTATATCTGGATGGAAACATCAGAACTCAGAAGGATCTGTTCATCAGAGCATAAAGTAGGACGTAAACAGGAAATGCTGCAAATGATATCTAAATATTGAATTTCAGCAGGATTTGACAGGTAGGTCAGTTAATCCCCGTTGCGATTAGAATTTAATTTTCATTAAAACCATTCTTGTGTGTCCATTATTGATACCGTAGATAAAACTAATAATGATATCAAAACCACTGCTTAGAACAGCTGGGTTTTTCTGGTAATCTCCCATAAACACAGCAACCTTCTCCTGAGGAGCTTTTGTTCCCATACCTGGTAGCAGCATTTGGCTGACATTAAAATGTCAGGAAAGTGAGTGGCTGTGGGCATGACATAAAAGGCAACCTAAGCAAAATATATTTATATATAAAAAAAAAAAAAAATTAGTGAACCTAATATATACATGATAGACAAGAATGAGTAAATTTTATTTTTCTCAGCTGTTCTGTTAGTCATAGAAAAGTGGAAAGTCCATTTTTTCTTTTGTTTAGAGCTGGAATGTGGGGAAGGGATTTGTGATATAGAAGAGGCTACAAAAGGGAATTAAGTTAGAGCAGGAAGATGAGTTATGACAAGCAAATGGAAAGCCACTTCCTCATCCTTTAAGAAAAACAAGGAAACAATTGACAGCACTTTTTTGTGAGCAGAATTAAGTATTTGTTGATAACTAAACACTTAAAATACTTGTTTTAAAGATACTTACATGTTTATTTAACTTTAGCAGTTTATTAAGTATTATTACATTGTATAAATAAACACATTGCACTGACATATCCCCCTAAATTACAGAGATTTTTCCGTAGTTTAAAAAGGTGGTACTGCATTCTTATTTGCAACACGGGACTTATTCTGATTGGTTTTCATCATGACTTGGTATTGACAAACAGCCTCCTTTGCCCTAATTTCATTCAATTCAGTAGTGGAGGAGACGTAGTTAGCTTTATTTCCATTTGCAATAACATCAATTAGTCTTTCTCCTAAAGTACAAGGGTTTACTTTCAGTCTGCTGCCAATAAAAATTAATACTGAGATTATTTGAAATTACCTGGCCTAAAACACTTATTAATATGGGGGGGAAATTAGCTACATAAGTATTTACAGATAACAGGAATAAACTATACTAAATATAACTATTTAACCTGAAATACTGGAGTTTTTACAGCGTGTGGTGTTCCACTGTAAATTCCAACCGTCTATTTTATCTCTGCTTCACTGGTTTAAAGACTCATTTATCATGATGCAAATTCATAGAAATCTGTCCTTAGGCAAAAAAAGAGTAACTGCAAAGGTGGGAAAAAAGCCTGGAGTACTAGATTGTAATGAATCATTTATTTAATAAATTTATTTCTATTCCTGTTTTCATATTGCTTATGGCTTTATGGTAATTCTGTTGATTTTTCTCCTCTTCTTTTTTTTTTATTTTTTTAAATTTTCTATTAAAACTCACTGTAAGATACAGCAAGCAATTAAATCATTTGGTATTCAAACTCTAGCAGCTGCTTTGTTTGAATTCATATTTTGTTAGTTAAAACTGAAAAGATCATTAAGGATGCTTAGGTCTTAAGGAAAAGAAAAGATAGATATCTTAGAAGAGATGAGCTTTTTTCAAGAGAAAATGCCATTAGGAAACACATATCATTCATCTTGCACCCCCACTTGCTCTAGGGTTGTTGAATAAAATAATGAGATGTTAATACAACATGTAAGTGTTCTGAAATTGTTTCCTAGAGCACTCTATGTTGAGGATATTTTATCAATTAACCTGGATAAATATTCTTGTCGTTAGGCAAGGAGCTCATGAGTTTGAAAACTTGAATAGCAAGCAAAATGCAAATCTTGACTGATTTGTGCTCCATTAAGTGATGGGTTAAAGGCATGTGAACCATCTAATAATAGTGAATATGCATGAGCCCATGGAGGTCCATGCCATTATGGAAACACTGACCAGTCTTTTGTCCCTCATGTTTACATATTAGATACAGCAGAGGGAGGAAATGTAAAAAAAAATATCCTTCACAGAAAGACATATAAGGCCAACTTGCTGAAGTGCTGCTGTGACAAGAAAGAGTGCTAATGCAGAAATCATTGCACAGTACTGGAGAACTGATTCAACCTGTTCCCGAGGAAAAAAAAAAAAATTGGCACACCAGCTTAACTTGATCAATTCTGACAAAAGCTAGCATAATAAAGTAATTGCTAGGGGACCTAAAAAAATTCTAAACTTAAATTTTACATTAGCGTGTTTAATATATTCAGTCTCAAATACACTGAACAACTCTGAATCGTGTTGCTAAGGGACCTCCAACGACTACAGAAGCATCTCTGTGTTTTTGGAATTCAGACTCCTACTAGAAATACCCAGTAGTTCAATCACTCACCTGCCACAGGCACCCTGACTTTCCTCAATAATCCCTGTCCCTTTTCTATTCTGGAAATTACTCATCTGTGGGATGATTCATTGTGTCACACATAGTATAGTTGATTGGGCACTTGACAGCCTCACACCTTGAAGCTGGCTCCTCAGCTGTTAAAGAGATGCCTTTTGTTCTGAAGTTCTTGTTGCTGTCCCTCGTGTCAGGCACATTTCAGCCCTGCCCCTGCTGAAATGCATTTTAATCCAAGCCTTATATCAGCTTGTCATGAAGAAAAAGCAAATGATAGGAGGAAAGATGCAAGACTGACTGTTAACAGAAAATGTGAAACTACTTCAGAGTCCAGAGAGTAGAGCAGCATTTTGTTTTTGATCTTGTCAAAGAAAAATTGTCACAAAAAACCAGCTCCCCTTTGGTTATCCCAGGTCAAACAGCACAAGTAACACTGTGCTTGCTGTACAAAGGTTTGAGAAGTAGGGGCAGTTTGTCACATTCTTGGGAGCACTCATACAATATTAACTTAAAAATTCCTACAAGTGATTACTCTAACTCCATACAGAACAGAAACATTGAAGGTCATGTCTTAGACTATTTCAAAGGGAAAAGCTATTTTCTCTGGCTTTCCAATAAAGTTTCACAAATGATTTATGATCCTAACTGTCTAGAAATACTAATGATTCTGGGCCATTTATAGATTTCTGTTGAATTTTAATTACACCCACAGATAAGGCTTCTGTACTTTCAAATGCAGATATTCAGAATGTGAGAATCTTAGAGATCTCAAAGCCTTACTCTATATGCACATGTGAGAATGAACATAGGTTTATTTTAAATTGGAACACCTTCTAGTTCTTTTGTTAGGAAGGAAAATTATAAGCCTGAATATGAAAAGAAATACCACACAAATAGCAT